CAGTTAAAATTATGTGGGGAGACTATAAAAGATGAGGACATGTTGGAAAAGACACTTACTACTTTCCATGCCTCAAATGTGATATTGCAGCAACAATATCGTGAAAAGGGTTTTCAGAAATATTCTGAACTAATTTCATGTCTTTTGGTGGCTGAGCAACATAATGCTCTTTTAATGAAAAATCATGAAGCTCGTCCCACTGGAGCTGCTCCATTACCGGAGGTAAATGTGGTGGAAGCACGTGATCAATCTGAAGTAAAAAGAGATGATCATCGGGGCTATAATAATGCACGGAGACGTGGCAAAGATAAAAGACGATACACTAATCGTCAAGGTGGTGGTCATAATAAAAGGGAGAACAACATGAGTTCTCAAAATAACCCCTCAAAAAGTAATTGTCGTCGTTGTGGCATGAAAGGCCATTGGAAGAATGAATGTCGCACACATGAACATTTTGTAAGGCTCTATCAAAATTCCTTTAAAAAGAAAGGAAATAAAAGTGGTGCTTCCTCTTCCAATGCTCGAGCTGAGTCACATATGACTCTTAAAGATGATGATAAGCCGGGAACATCTCAAAAATATGATAAAGATATTGAAGCAAATTTGGCTTTAAAGGATGATGTTTTTGATGGCCTTGGTGACATTACTCATATGGAAGTTGATGACTTCTTTGGAGATCGAAACTGATTTTGATCTTTTAGCTGGGGAATGAAGTCTGTTAATATTTTACTTATGTATTTTTAATTATCATGTTATTTATGTTGAAGTATTTAAATTTCCGTTGTTAATTTTGTTTCTTCCTTCTTTTGATGTATTTTATTTTAATGACAATTAATAGAAATCCCCAGTTGTCAGTTGGATTCAAGATGAGTAATGGAGATGTATGCCTTCTTGATAGTGCTACAACGCATACAATATTAAAAGAAAAGAAATACTTTTCTAATTTGGTTATGAAAATGGCATATGTCAATACAATATCAGGTAGTACAAAATTAATTGAGGGCTATGGAAGAGCGACCTTATTACTACCTGGAGGGAAAATATTAAGCATTGATAATGCATTATATTGTAGTAAGTCTCAAAGAAACTTATTAAGTTTCAAAGTTATTCGCCAAAATGGCTATCATGTTGAGACGGCTAATGAAGGAAAGGTTGAATACCTTTACATTACTACAATTAATGTTGAAAAGAAAATTGTGCATGAAAAATTACCTGCATTTTCTTCTGGGTTGTACTATACAAGTATAAGTACAGTTGAATCACATGCCGTAGTAAACAAAAGGTTTACTAATTTTAATGATTTTATCATTTGGCATGACCGGTTGGGCCATCCTGGATTTAATATGATGCGCAAAATCATTGAGTATTCACATGGACACACCTTAAAGAGCCCAAATATCCTTCAATCAAAGGAATTCTCTTGTGCTGCTTGTTCTCAAGGAAAGTTGATCATTAAACCATCAACAGTTAAGGTTGGAATTGAATCCCCTGCGTTTCTGGAACGTATACAGGGTGATATATGTGGACCAATTCAACCTGCATGTGGACCCTTTAAATATTATATGGTCTTGATAGATGCTTCTACAAGATGGTCACATGTGTGTTTATTATCAACTCGCAACATGGCTTTTGCGAGATTGCTGGCTCAAATAATAAGATTGAAAGCACAATTTCCAGACTATACAATAAAGACAATCCGTCTAGATAATGCTGGTGAGTTTACATCTCAGGCATTTAATGATTATTGTATGTCTACTAGTATAACTGTTGAACATCCAGTTGCGCATGTTCACACTCAAAATGGTCTAGCAGAATCATTGATTAAACGTCTGCAATTGATAGCTAGACCATTACTAATGAGAACAAAGTTATTTGTGTCTATGTGGGGGCATGCTATTTTGCATGCAGCAACACTTGTGCGCATAAGGCCAACCAATTATCATGAATTCTCCCCATTACAATTGACTTTTGGTCAAGAGCCAAACATTTCCCATCTTAGAGTTTTTGGATGTGCGGTGTATGTCCCAATTGCTCCACCACAACGCACAAAGATGGGGCCGCAAAGAAGGTTGGGGATATATGTTGGGTATGAATCTCCTTCAATCATAAAATATTTGGAGCCTATGACTGGAGAATTATTTAAGGCAAGATTTGCTGATTGTCATTTTGATGAATCAGTATACCCAACATTAGGGGGAAAACATAAGTCATTGGGAAAAGAGATAGATTGGAATTCATCATCTCTATCTCATCTGGATCCTCGAACAAACCAATGTGAGCAAGAAGTTCAAAGAATAATTTATTTGCAGAACATTGCAAATCAGCTACCAGATGCATTTACGAATCTTCCAAAGATTACTAAATCGCACATTCCAGCTGTTAATGCTCCAGTTCGAGTTGATATCCTGACGGGACAAATTGTTAAGGCAAATGAGTCTAGACCACATTTGAAGCGTGGTAGACCAATTGGTTCCAAGGATAAAAATCCTCGAAAGAGAAAAGGAATAAATGATCAAGATGATCATGGGTTGAAAGAAATTTCTCAAGATGAGACCCAAGTCATAACACATGATGATGAGGAGGTTCGAACTTCTGAAAATAATGAAATTTCAATGAATTATGTCTCGACGAGAAAGTTGTGGAACCGAAATAATGTTGTGATTGACAACATATTTGCCTATAATGTTGCTATTGAAATAATGCAACAAGATGAAGATTTTGAGCCAAAATCTGTTCACAAATGTAGACAGAGAAATGATTGGCCAAAATGGAAGGATGCAATTCAAGCTGAATTGGCTTCACTAGAAAAACGTGAAGTTTTTGGACCAATAATCCGAACACCTGAAGGTATCAAGCCAGTGGGGTACAAATGGGTTTTTGTACGAAAAAAAAATGAGAAAGGTGAAGTCATGAGATATAAGGCCCGACTCATTGCTCAAGGTTTTTCTCAAAGACCTGGCATTGATTAATGGAGACATATTCTCCAGTGGTAGATGCAATCACCTTTAGATATCTCATAAATCTGGCAGTTCATGAAAAACTTGAAATGCGTCTAATGGACGTTGTCACAGCCTATTTATATGGCTCATTGGACCACAACATTTTCATGAAAATTCCTGAAGCATTTAAAGTGCCTGAAACATACAAAGATTCAAGAGAAACTTGTTCAATAAAGCTTCAGAAATCTCTGTATGGACTGAAACAATCAGGAAGGATGTGGTACAATCGTTTGAGTGAATATTTGTTAAAGAAAGGGTACAAAAATGACCCGATTTGTCCCTGCATTTTCATTAAACGGTTGGGGTCTGAATTTGTAATAATAGCTGTGTATGTTGATGATTTGAACATCATTGGAACTCGTAAAGAGCTTTTAGAAGCTGTTGAGTGTCTGAAAAGAGAATTTGAAATGAAAGATCTCGGCAAGACAAAATTTTGTCTTGGTCAACAGATTGAGAATTTGTCAAATGGAATACTTGTTCATCAATCAACGTACACAGAAAAGATACTAAAGCGTTTTTACATGGATAACTCACATCCATTGAGTACTCCAATGGTGGTAAGATCTCTTGACATCAATACAGATCCATTTCGACCTCAAGAGAATGATGAAGAGCTTCTTGGTGATGAAACTCCTTATCTTAGTGCGATCGGGGCACTAATGTACCTTGCTAACAATACTCGACCAGATATCTGTTTTGCAGTAAGTCTACTGGCAAGATTCAGTTCCTCCCCAACAAAAAGACATTGGAATGGTGTTAAACACATACTTCGATATCTTCGAGGGACCATGGACATGAGTTTATTTTATTCCAATGAATCCAAATCAGAACTGATTGGTTACGCAGATGCAGGGTATTTATCAGATCCGCATAAAGCTCGATCACAAACAGGCTATTTGTTTACATGTGGAGACACGGCAATATCTTGGCGATCAATGAAGCAAACATTGGTAGCTACTTCTTCAAATCATGCAGAAATAATAGCCATCCATGAAGCAAGTCGAGAGTGCGTCTGGTTGAGATCAATGAACCATCATATTCAGAAAATGTGTGGTTTTTCTTTGAAAAAGAATATACCAACCACAATGTACGAAGATAATGCTGCATGTATAGCTCAATTGAAAGGAGGATACATCAAAGGAGACCGGACAAAGCATATTTCACCAAAGTTCTTTTTCACGCATGATCTTCAACAAAATGGTGAGATAGAAGTTCAACAAATTCGTTCAAGTGATAATCTTGCTGATTTATTCACTAAGGCATTGCCAACATCAACATTTGAGAAGTTGAGATACAAGATTGGAATGCGCCGTCTCCGAGATATCAAGTAAAGTTTTCATCAGGGGGAGCGAAATACGCGTTGTACTCTTTTCCTTAACTATGGTTTTGTCCCAAGTTGGGTTTTCCTGGTAAGGTTTTTAATGAGGCAACATTCAAAGCGTATTATGAGATATGTGTACTCTTTTTCCTTCACTAGGCTTTTTTCCACTGGGTTTTTCCTAGTAAGGTTTTAACGAGGCATATAATCTATGGACATCCAAGGGGGAGTGTTATAAATCCATTGAATTGTGTGGATTGTCCTTTAGATTTACTCAAGACTTAATTGTATTCATGTATTCATGTTCCCAAGGTGATAAGAATCATTTGGATAACTATGTACCTACTAATTGGACATTTATCATGGGGGCTTTTGGGGTGATATCTCAACTCTATAAATAGAGATATCATTCACCTTTTGTAATACATACTTGAATAAGAAAATTATCTCCTCTATCTTATACTTCTTGTCTTTTTCTTCTTATATTCTTAGCTTTCTTTACAACATTATAGTATTATTAATTAATTGTCGAAAAATATTTATAAGACAAATTTATAATGATGAAAATGTTAAACTAAACAATCCAAATAAATATACAAACAACTTGTAGTAAAATTTATATATCATGATTGGTACATAAATTTAGAATTATAGACTTTTGACTAGATCGAAAAATTGAATATAGGTAAGCAAACGTTGCAACTATGCAATTTTAAGTACGACTTGCTGCGGGACTATAAACTCGAAGTTCTTTTTCGAATCGTGCCCGCCGGTGACGATGAGTTTGTCACTCATACAAAGTTACTCCTCATCGGAGGAAGAAGAAGAACAAGAAGAAGAACTTCACTACGACAACTCCGACGACGACCAAAAAGATGACGTTCCACAGAATCGTTACAAACCTTTTTTTAACCCTAATCCTTCTTCATCTTCATTGCTCCCTTCCGCTCTTGATGCCTTCTCCGAAGTAAATTAATTTCCTTAATTATTTACCTATAAGAAAGCTGTATCCTTTTTTTCATGTTATTAAATTTATGTTTGAAATTATTGGAGATTTCAGGGCCGCCGGAGTTTTTGAACAACAGTGTTGAAGAAGCGGGAAAGGACGTTAATGAACAGAGACACGGTCGCCGTAAGTACAGCAGAAACAAGAATGATTTACCAGCTGGTACTTTTCTAACTCCTTTGCTTCCCTTCAAATATATGACTTTATTGTCTTGTAATTGTACAATTTGGGCATAATTTTCTTGAAAGAGTGTTTGGGGATTAAACAATTCATCAATTTTCAGATTAATACTTCTAGTGTAATTTTTGTTACAAAATTAATGATTTCGTCTCAGAAACACTTATAAGGCAGCTGTTATACAACTTACTCTAGCAAAACCAAAAGCGTGAAAGTTCTTACTTCTTAGGCCAAGTCTTCTGGCAAAGCTAATGTTATTACCAAAGTATGTTCATTACCTCTGACAAGAAAGGTGAATCCAGGATTTTAAGATTGTGGGTTCCAATAGGGTGCTTATTCGGTTGAATATTACCTCGAAAATCATTTTTTTTGTAAGTTTATACACATTTTAGCTTACGTGGCACACTCCGTGACTCTACATAGATGAAACGCATGCGAGACGTTTGGATGCCATGTAAGCCGAAAAGTTGTACAAAATTACAGAAAAATGGATTTGGGGTAATAGGAGCTTAGTTTAGTTAAGGTGTGTCTCTTGGATTTCGGTCATAAACCAGTCAAGAATTGTACTTTTGTATGATAATATATGACGGGAGGCATGAAGTTGAAGCATATGAAGTTGAGCGAACTGAACCCCAATAAGCATCCCTTGGAGGCTTGTAAAAAGAAGCCAAGAGAAATTGGAAAACACTCCATAGGAATTGTACCTGTGTCACAGGTCACAAGAGCACCTCAACAGGTTCCTACCTTGCCACTAAACCAACAGATTGTTTTAGTTATGGGTTTCCAACTAGAATTTTCTTATATTTCTAACAAATTCTAAATTTAAAGTATATGGTCCGGGTTAAAGTTATTGGTTTCCTGTGAATCCTCACCAATTACACTGGATCCGCTCCTGACCTCTGAGGTTTAGAAAAAAAAATTGATCCAACTATCTTCATACATTTCAGTTTTTTGTCTAGATTCATTAAGTTGGTATATTTAAGCATCAATTGAGAAGGAAAACCCTATTAATATAGAGTTAATACTTAATAGGGAGAGTGGAGAACCGAAGACAGACTTTTTCGGCAACTTGCCTTGTGAAAGGGCTTAGTGTGGTTATTTAACCTTGTAGCCATAGCATAGGAATTCAAAGAGAATGCAACTTAAATATCTTATAAGTAGAGCATTCGTAGATCTGGTTGAACCGTTGAAGCCTGTTTGCAATCCAATGTTTTTACTTTGCGCACTTCAACATTTATGTCCTCTAAGGTAGAGAGAGAAGTAAATCCAAGAAAAAAAGATATTCCTCCAACGGTTATATGCCGAGAAGTCTTTTCTTCAAAGTGGGGCATGCCAAATTTTTGCACTAGGAAGCATCGTTAAGTGTATAATTTTATCAACTATGATAAAGATATTTACTCTTCTTTATCTAGTCATTTCTTGACAATATAGAAGAATCTTTAATGGTCATGGTTGTATATTTTCCTTTTTTTTGGAACAAAATATCTTTCATCTTTATAGGTGCTGTAGTGGAGTCAAAGGCTCAATTAGTAGGACTTCATGAGAGGGTGAGAAGCGATGTCGGTGGGGGCATCCCAAAAGCAGCCACTGGTCAAGGAAATGCTTTTGTTGGCACTGTACAAGGAGGCAAATCTGTGGCAACTGCGAGCTATCCTGGTGCAGAAGATGCAGCAGAGCTTCTGAGGTATGGATTATCATTTCAACGGAGGGTCCTTTTTTATCAGAATTTCAAGTTTGAAAGTTGGATGAATATCTTAATTGTTGTAAATTGATTCCTTGAGTTAAGTATTTAATTGGAATTTGATTGTTCATTTATTTTTGGTATCTTAAATTTTCGTAACTTGGCCCCTAATGGTGTGGTCTAGGGGTCAGTGAAGTGGTTTGGAAGCCATGAGATCTTAAGTTTAAATCCTAGCAGAGGTGAAAGCACTAGGTAATTTCTTCTCGTCTGTCCTAGCCTTGGTGGACACTGTTACCTGATACTTGTTGCTAGTAGAAAGTTGCAAGTATCCCATGGAACTATTTCGAGGTGTGCATAAATTAATGCAGACACCAGGGCTAAAAAAAAATTTATACCATGTGGTTGCTTACTTTAGTAAATGTGTGCTTCACCTCTCGCTTTGGCTTCAAGCCCCTTGGACCTGGTCCCTTTAATGCATTCACTTTTAAAAACATTGGATAGGACAATTTTTATTTTAGAATATAGTAAAAGATTTGATATACTTGGCACCCAACGGTGTAGCCTAGTGTCAATGAAATAGATTGAGAACCACATGTTCAAATCACAATGAAGAAAAAAACCAAGTGATTTTTCCCATCTGTCCAAAGTCTTAGGGGTCGTTTGATTACGGTACCTTTAATTCATGTATAAAACAATGTATTAAGTTATACTATGGTAGAAATTTTTGTTTAGGTAGAAAAATCAACACAACTTCACCATGTTTGGTTGCTTTTGTGTAGTCCTATATAATTAATATCAACATAACCTATGAGGGAATCTAAGTATAAAGTTATGCAGGGTAGAAGGTGGAATAAGTTGTGTGGGTATTAGTTATACGTATATTAAAGTGATAAATTACATATTTACCCTATTAATTTATTTTATTGTTTTTAATGGAAACTTTATTGTTTTCCTATATATAAGTTTGTTGTTTTTATTTCTTTTTTATATTTAGACCATTTTATTTCTTTTAATTTTTTTTAATTGGAAACTTTATTGTTTCCTATCAACATGTGTTGTTTTTATTTATTATTATATATAGATTATTTTCATTTCTTTTTATATACTTATCGTTTTGATTGATTTATGCAAAGAAATATTTTTTTAATATTAGAAATTGATTTTATATTTTTTAACAGTACATATGCTAATCAATATTAGCATTATATATTATTCAATATATTTCACATTTTATTAGCATGTATTATTATTTTGTAAATGATATTTATTAATAATTTACAACAAGTTTAATATTCAATTGTTAATAATTCATATATTGTAATATCTAAACCCTGCATAACTAATATCTGCATAACTAAAACCCTGCATAACTCTAACCTGTAACCAAACAACCCCTTAGAGGATAGAGCTACTCTGTTCATGTCTTGGTGAGAGATCTGAGGTAGTAGGTATCCAGTGGTATTAATCGAGGTTTGCTCAAGCTTGCCTATATATTGCAAGATCTGTCTTTGTTTTCGACACTTGTCTATCTTTTACTTTCTAACAGGTAATAAATTTTAGTGTTTTAAGTGGCTATTCTTATATGTGGTACCTGCAGCTCAAACGCCATGAGCTTATACCTAGCATATTAGCTATGGTTCATTGATGCTTATGCTTCCCTAAATAAAAAAGGAATGATGTAGAATCTATATCAAGAAGTGGACAGACTACTCCATCCTGGTTCACCCCTTTTGGGATTGCTAGTGATGAATTTGGCCATTGACCATCATGCATTAACTTGAATTTTTTGCCATGGCAACACTTGAATCTTTTCTTGCCCTCCAGATAGTATAGTCCCTGCATTTTGAAAGAACCGTACCTCGATTTATGATAATCTACCTAGCATATATTAGTCCATTTCTATAGACAGTTGAATGAACTATTCTTTTTCCTTCCCATTAGGATGTGGTGGATCATCATTTTTTGACAATGATATTATGGTATGCTAGTGAAAAGTTCTTTTTATGAAAGTTCTGATTGCAATTTATTCACTATGCATCTTGTATTAGGATGTGCTTGAGATGTGGAATTCCCAAAACATACACACACACAAAAGGGATGGTGTGCCCAGCGTGCAGTGATCACCCTGTAAACTCTGACGAAGAGCCAGTCAAGAAAAAGGGGTCTACCGTCAAAGACAAGGAGAAGAATAAGAGGATGAAGGGGCAGTCATCCCATGCAACATGGAAAAGTGAGACGGAAATGCATCTCCGCCAACAATTTGATTAGTCAAGTCTAAAACAAGTTGGTCCAAAATATAGTTAGGTCCTCCAGTAACATAATCGATCAACTATGTACTTATAGCAGCTCTACTCAGCTGAAGTGATACTCGGAATTATGAGGTAATCTTGCAGCTATCTGTTTAAAGTGCATAACCTGTGTGATGTAGATTCTGGTCTGGCTTTAAAGCTAAGGTGCCACCACTTTGTTTGTTTTTCTCAAGTTGTTGCAGCATAAATTTAGTTTTTGATACTTCTTGTTTGGAAGAAGCCGTGTAGTAAACATGTATCATGCTCTTTCATCATTGTCAACTTGGGACTTGATTATACATTATGTAGGGATAAATTTCTTCACTTGATGAATTTGTTTCATAAATTACACGTTTTATCTTTCAAATAGTCGAATCTGCATTTGTTACCATTTAACAATCAAATCTATGCCTAATGGGGCATAAGTTCTAATAGCTTAAATAATGTCCAGACAGAGCTTGTGGGGTATGATAAATGGTATGCAATCTTTCACATGTATGACGTGAAATGCAAATTTATTGAACAAGTTTTGTCTTATAAATGATATTTCCTAGATAAAATAGTTTACATATCACATAGGTTCTCTTACATAAATATTACAACACTGCTTCCCTTGTGATGATGTGATAGCCACAAACAAAACAGAAAAATAAAAATTGTGTAAGCTGTCACGTATTAATCACTTCTTTATACACATTAGAACAACATATCTGTCATAAGCCAGTTGTAACCTCCAAGAACCCCAACACTTGATATGCTCTTCAACTGTGTGTGTGTGTGAGAGAGAGAGAGAGAGAGAGAACTAAGGCCAATAGTAACATCGCATTCTAGCCCTCACAAGCTTGACTGAGTGAATTTCTGAGTCTCGGTTGCCAAATATATTAACCCTTCATTTCTCTACCTCAATCTTACCCCAAAAGAAAAAACATAGAACTGTTGTTTAGGTTGACTCCGCTATGCTGTCACTCTTAGACATGTTGGCAACTGCCCCTACATATCCACTCTTATTCACTTCAGAGAACGACTTCATTTTTAGGACAATAAAGCACTCAGAACCGATAAGGCATACATTATCGTCTTCCTGAAAATTGATATAAGCGCACAAATAGGTGTTAGAAAAGTTAGAAGAGGAAGGCAAAAACTAACAGCCTTGGATTTGGCTTGCAGTTGCTGAAGAAGAGGCAACAAATGGATGGGAAACATCTCTAATAAAATATTTAAAAAACACTCATAAAATACCTTGTAACATGATGATTAGTGTAGACACCATTCAGTCTCAAGGCTTTTTTAACCATTTATGCTCAGTTATCATAAACTTCTCTCATTTAGCAGCAATTTCTCCAAGACAAATGAAGTACTAAGCCATCATCAGCTGGCAACTCAGAGACGATGAATCTCTTCATTGATTTGACAGGATGTGGCGTGGTTCACCAGAACGCCAAACATGAATGTAGTTAACATTAACAAAAGCTTACCGTGGAAAGGGACCTCAAGCCAATGGATCATGGTCAGGTGTTGCATATGAGCCTGAAGACCTTAGGAAGAGCAAATGTGCAATTGATCAGTCTATAGGGGTTTGTGTCTCTTTCCATGTCCATATACCCCTTCATCCTGCAATAAAAGCCATTAGACATTCCTGATCTAGGAATAATGTGATCACTGACTAATGAAACTATGCAAGTAGAATATGTCACCTACGACCAAGATTTAAATGTTGTAGTTCAAGGATATTCTAGTATTCCTGCTTATTTCACAAAAATAAAGAGTCTGTGGGATGAGTTAGATGTACTCAAAACACTTTTTCTGCTTGTAGTTGTGAGTGTTTGTGGAGTAAAACAAAGTATAAAAGTTCATCACGATGAAACGTTGCTTTAGTTTCTTATGGGTCTAAATGAAACTTACATAGGGCTTAGGAGTAATATTTTGTTATCTTCTCGTCTTCCTATTATTGGTTAGACTTATTCTCCTGTTATTCAAGATGAAAAACAAAGGAAAATTCATGCTACTCCCGCTTATCTAGGAAAATCAACATCCTATCTGGTTGGTAAAGCAGGAGAAAGAAGGTTCAATGATTACAAAACTCAACAAGGAAATCCCATTAAGAAAACTTTTGTGTGCAACTATTGTAAGAATATAGGACATACTATTGATCATTGCTATAAAATTCATGGTTTTCCTTCGGATTTCAAGTTCACTAAATCTAAGAAGTATCAAAAGGGTATTATTGCCAGCAATGTTTTCAGTACACCAGAAGGTACTCATCAGGAAAATGATTCAGATGTGAATTCTCTCACTAAAGATAATGTTTATTTTACAACATATTTTTTCATCCCTTTTTGCTACACTGCCCAATTCCGATTGTCTATTGGCATTTTGTTAGCATCCCTTTTCGTCTATCAGTTTACACATGGAAGATTTAAGGAAATTAAGTTTTTTATTTCTGTTTGCAGTAGATTACGACAACTTTAGTTACTTGCTTTTCCTATTTTTGTGAGCAATTGTTGCAGTAAGGAGGTTATTTCTCCACTTTCTCATTTCAGTTGTTGTATGAAGTTACTTGTTTTCAGATGGGTGGTTTATCCACTAGGTTGTATTCAAAGTTATTTGTATTTAGTGAAATGACAAGCAGAAAATTGTCAAGTTTTTGAGTACTTCAAACTCAAGAGATCACCGGTTCTCTCTAAACGAACTGGCGCCATTGGTAGAAAAAAGAAAACTTTAGATTTTATCTTGAAGCGTCTCATAACTAGATCCATAACAGGAGACCATAACAACATTGTATCAGAGCCGAATGTTATGCGGGGATCAAATTCAACATCAACTAGCACAATTGGTGAACTTGTTTCAAGAAGAATGTGCAACCAATATAGCGATATAGGAAGCAATAAATGCTCCCTTAGATGCACTCACAAAGGATTTAGCAAATTCGAAGGTCGATTTTCGATTCAACTGAACATATTGGTCAGAATCATGGTTGGAAGGTTAACAATAAAGTGGCAGAAGCGTCAGGATCAGAAGTGGGAGGAAGTTTCATCATTCTACGACATACAAAGTTAAATTTTCATGATTTAATAGTCAAGAGGACCCTTTGGGATGATTGAACACATGTGAACACTTCTTTCGACACTAACGAACTCTTGGAAGAAGAAAGATTGGACTTGCTTCTTTTCATTTGAAGGGCAATGCATAACTTTGATTTCTTCAACTAGAGACAAATCTGCCTCAACTATCTTGGGATGACTTCAAACGTCATTGTAACCTTCGTTTTGGGCCACGAACCAGAAGTCAAAAATTGAGAGAATTGGCTAAGCTATGCCTAATCGGGTCTATGACATATTACCAAGAAGCATTTGAGCAGTTAATTTCACAGGCTGGTACAATCACACGTGCACAAAAAATTAATTGAACTTTCAACGGTCTTATCGATTATATACCAATTGAGGTTGAGTTACATAATCCTCCAGATTTGGCTATGTGATGAGTTTATCCCGACTTTATGAACGCAAGGAACAACCCATTTAGACACAATTCTTAGATGCTTGCAAATCAAAGACATCAGATTTTTCACCTCAACAACATGTCAAATTTGTGAAGAAACTGACCAAATCTGAAATGGAGGAAAAGCGACTTAAAGGACTTCATTTCAACAGTGATGAACCATTCACTCGAGGTTATCGGTGCAAGAAATTGTTTTGGATTGACTCTATATACGATAAAGAAGAATTTGTTAAAAAAAGGGGAAATACTAATAATTTTCGCTTGAGGGCAAGCGCGATTTGAAGATGGGAGTAATGTTAGCACCCCTTTTATTAATCTACCAATGTTTTACACATGAAATATTTAAGGATATTAAGTTATTTATTTTATTTCTATTTGCAGTAGATTACTACAGGTTCAGTTACTTGCTTTTCCTATTTTTGTGTACCAGTTGTTGCAGTAAGGAGGTACATTGTACTAGGAAGTTACTTTCTTGTTTTCAGATGGGTGGTTTATCCAACATGTTGTATTTAAAGTTATTTGTATTTAGTGGAATAATAAGCAGAAAAGTAGTCATGTTTTTGAGTACTTCAAACTCAAGAGGTCGTAGGTTCTCTCTTAACAAACCAACACCATAAGTACAAAAAGAAAACATTAGATTTTATCTTGCAGTGTCCCATAAGTAGATCCATAACAAGGGATCATTACACATTTCTTCGAAAAAAATAAATAAGAAAATTGGGTAATAAATAAATTAATCTTTAATCAAAATTTTCAAACATAAATTTGCCTCCTGTTGTCGCCACTGAAGCTTTGGTTTGAAACTTTGACCATTGCAGATTCTCAAATACTGAATAATTCTTGTACTTTTAAAAAGAAAAACATTTTATCCTATTGGTAATGATTTTTTTTATGGCAAAATATTTTTAAAAAATGAAACCTTGTTGAGTAAATATCTAAATGAGTATAAACAAATTAACAAGGTTGAGTCACATACACGATACATCGCATGGCGAGTCTGTAGGACCCTCAAATCAATGGTGTTCTCTCATACACTATAACAAAAAAAGCTTTTGCGACAATCAATATGCATATTTAACAAAGAGGCTAATTTTTATTTATATGAGTTAATTTCTACTTGATCTAATGTCTTTATAGACTTTTGACATTTACAAAGACGGCTAAAATGTAATTGTCACTAGTAATTGCCTCTCAAAAAAACATATTTAGGGTTAATTAAGCTATTATCGTTAATTAATTGCAATTAAAGACCATTTTTGGTGTAGTGATACCTTCCTTTCGCTCCTTATATATGCAACTTCATATGACACTTTTACAAGGTCACCAAGTACTCCATGGGCTTAACAACACATTAAACAACTCCTCAACATCCTCATACAATAAGTAAAATTTGAACTCATCACTCTTAATCACACCCATGTGTTCTTACCAGAATCATGCTTAGAATGCTCATATGAGCTCATAGATGATGAAGAAGGAAAAGACTACTTTGTCCATACCAAATTTTGGCACCTCAAGCTCGACTCAATCCAAAACTCGAAAGTTGACTCTCGATTTGAGGTCAAGAGTCGGGTCTCGAATCAATAATCAGGAGCCAGATCCAAGATTAGTATCGGTAATCATACTCAAGACTTAAGCTATGAAAAGTTAGGTGTGAAAAATTGAATTTGGAAAAAATGTTTTCCTTATTTTTTTCCTTTTTTATGGAAAGTCGTTTTTCTTTAAATTTGAGAAAAATAAGTTAATTTAGAACACATCTTTCTTTGTACCAAACATACCTGATTTCAGATGGTGGAGGTGGAAAATGAAATAAAAATCAGTTTGCAAACTTGTTTAGGCAGCCAACGCGCCTTCCACCGGCGGTACCACATGCAGGACTGCATGTTGGTCCGTATGTGGTGGATGGAATTTCCAGAATCTGCCTACATAGGAGCTTCAACATATGGTGGACATACCATCCGTATCTCACTTATACGTCCGTATGCCAATTGTCATGCATCTCACAGTCGTACAACACGATCGTATGTGCAACTTTAAGTTTTGCTATGGTTCCAAGGCTCTTTAACCTTAGCTTCAAGCTTAGTGTAAACTGGAAACTTATCTGAACTCATCCTCCCAAATTTGGAAAGATTTGTCGACATCGAATTAATCTTACACCTTTAACAAGAATACAATTTGATATATCACACATAAAGTCAGGTTAAATGTGTGAATAACTTAGATAATTTCCAATTAAAATTGCAATATAGTTAAGTAACATGAATGTTGAAAGAGAATTAGACTACACACAAATGGTTGGGAAAACAACAACGAGTAGAATTCACACAATATCTGAGACACACCTCAACGATAAACGTTTTTTTTTAATTCAAGAGACACTCACACACACACCTCAGCTCGTTGGCCATATCGATCGATTTACTTTTTGTTTCCTAAGAGAGTGAGAAGGAAATTCATGTAATCCCCAGAAGTGTGCTTCGAGATAGCATGATCAAGACTCACACTGTTCCTCTTGTAGTAAAGCTCTTTGATCACTCCCAAGTCATTCTCTGCCCTGCTCACTATTACCCTTGTCACAGACGCCTCATCTGTCCCTGACTTCATTAGGGCACGTCGAATTACCTGCACCACATCACCATTCGTTTAACAAGGAAATAAGTATGTAATAATATTATAGCTACGATTTTTGGTTACCTTTTCATAGTATGCCTGAGGGTCATAAGTAATGCATCGGATTATCGTTCTCAATGCTCCTAAGAAAGCATTAGCTGTCTTTTCTCCATCATCCCTCAAGTACTAAAAAGGAAAACTGAGTTAAGTCCTTATAAAATGTAGCAAAATTTTTACACAACATTATATACCTTGGTGAGTGAAGAGGCATAATCATCCTTGTAACGGTTTAGAGTTGCTCTGAGTTGAGTCTTGCTCCTTGTGGTAATAATTCTAACAATTTCTTCATGATTAAACTCCTTGCTTTTTATCGCATTGTAAATAACGTCCGCCTCAGATTTTGCTAGCTTTACATCGATTTCATCGCCTGCATATCTATATGTGCCAACTACAGAAAGCAAAAGCTGAAAAAAAAAACAAACAGAATTATACATCACATGAACCAAACAATAGAATACAACAACAACAAAAAAAAGAAGAAATAGTTACATGCCTTGCGAAGTTCACCGGTGCAATGTTGAGCTAAGTCTTCCTCGAGGGAGCGTTTGTAGCGAGCTTGATAGGTACACTTAACAGACAAAAAGTCATGAGGAGAATATATACATGACAACTCGATGATAGATGTGTAATCTAAGATTGGTTTTTCTTTTATCGCAACGTGCAATATAACTGCATCCCTCTCTTGTGGATCAAGCATCCATCTGTACACTGCTTTCTCGAAGTGTCCAGATAACTCAGATTCAAGACGCTTCATCAGATCTTCATTATACATCTCCTCATATGTTTTCCTTATTATCTTCCTCTGACTTGCATTTCTATGCCCGAGTATCGATATTAACGCCTTCTCATCCGTCCCCCATCCTGAATCCAATTAGTACATTAGGAGTCATTTGGTTTGAATAAGTTATGATGAGAGTTATGCTTGGACCATTTCTTACTCGTGTTTAATTTGTTGTATTTAAACAAATACGCACTTGCATAAATAAGAACAAGTTATTCTTCTACATAAATATCATTAATGAAGGTGAAAAGTGAGGTCTAATCCCGAAATAAGTCATCCTGGAATTACTCTACCACAACCAAGAGGAGGCATAACTTATGTTGATACTAATTATTAATTTCGGGATAAGTTACCTAGAATTTGCCAATCAAACAACAAATTAAGTGACACTACAATTTAATGAGTAATAATAGCAAGATTATGATGAGATAATTACTAGAGAAAAGAACTAGTAAATAACCTTTACAGGCCTTCCTAATAGCCTCTGCATCAGTAACAGGAGAATACTCTTCAGGGCAAATCAGAGTAGCCATTGCTAATTAATTAATTTAATTATATATATTAAGAACTCTCTTCTAAATTATTGATATATATATATATTGTCTACTTCCTAGCACTTATTTATACTACTAAAAAGTGTTTTTAATTAATCTTGAAAGTAACGACATTACTTATCAATGAAGTACTATGCCAACTTTTGAATAACAAATTGACAAAATACTTTCACATCTTTTTCATTTTTTAAATTCCACATGGGGCGGAGTTTTCCAGATTACCTTATATGGTTGTATTATAGTTACATTTTCCTCTTTTATATATCTTGATCTTGAGATACTACTAGAATAATATATAGCATACTACTCCCTTCCCGTACTTTTCGAATTTTGAGATTTAAGTTTATCTTTGATAATAAGTTTTTCATAAATCTTCTAAATATTTTGAATTATCAATTATTGTGACTTAATAATACTTTTTACGTAGTTTACAAATATATAAATTTCATTTAGAAAAACATTGAAGATCCTAAGCGCAGATTTCTAGTCAAGCTTGAACTATTTTACTCTCAAAAAATGAAATTGGCATATAAACTGAATAGAGAAAGTATTTTTTTTAGCTATGCGTTTTTCCTACACCAAACGAAATCATGTCTTTTTAGTGTACTTTCATTTATAATGATTTAAGGTTTATTATGTTCCAATAGGCAACAATATTGACGTGAAAAATAGTTCAAAATTTTGAAATGGAATCCTCCTTAATTCTTTATATTATATTAATAATATATCAAATTTATCTTTACCAAAGCATTTTATTCTTTTCTTATGTGCTTTAGTAGCTGCCAAAGCATTTTAGAAAGAAAAGAATGTTGTTTGCTTAAGTAAATGGTTCTCCACTTATTCTTGCTGTTTTGCATATAACATTTTATTATTCACACACATTTACACAATATTTATATGTAAGAAAAAAAATTAAAGCAACACTTACTTTACTTTATTTGCTTAATTAAAATTAAAATTGGAAAAATAACTTAAATACACAACTATAATTTTTATATTCTCCAATTTTCCCTACTTTTTTTAAATATTACATAATTCCCTATTTTTTTATTTTAGAGTAAGTTTTTAGATACATTACACTCTCTCCTATAATACACATTTACCAATTTTAATGCCTATTTTTTCTCCATTAAAACACTCAACCTCTTAAATCAGTTTTTGAATTTTAAATTTTTTCCATTTAAACACTCAACCTTTTAATCAGCTTTTTAATTTTGAATTATTAAATTTAATTAAATTTAAATAAAAGAACAAATTTTGAAATTTTGAATTTCAAAATTCAAAAAATATGGAAGCAGGGTAACTTCCACTGCATTCTATCGTTTTGTTCTTACCAAAGTCACCTTTCACTTCTTTTTTTCCTTAATCGTCTTCATCCCACTATTTCTTCATAACTTTGAATCTTCTCAACCCAGCAGATTTTTCTATTTTCTTCTTTTTATTCTTAATCCATATTCGACTATTTCTTCCTAATATTGAATCGTAAGAACCCAGACCCTTTTTATAGTTAATCCATCATCAGTTCGTATATTCTTCTCTTTTTCGTTTTTGTTAATTGTTCTATTACTTCATAGTAATATAAGTGTAGTAAAGTATAATCTGTGCTTGATGATACATGTTGAATCTGTGTGTACATTGTTTAGTCAATGTAATGATACATGTAGTAGCTATGTATCACATGTTCTGCATGTAGTATGAATTCCTGTATGATATCATGTATCAGTAAGGTATTAGTTGTTTAGTTGATTTACTCATACATGTTTTGAAACTTGTTATAATGTATCATTCATTAAGTTTAATAAATGCTTCATCAGATATAGTTGATGATACATATAGATTCTTTGTGTATGTTGTTTAGTCGCTGTTTATGATACATGTATTAGACATGTATCACATGTTATAATGTTTTATTTAATTCAATGATACATGTTATAGACATGTATCACATGTTTTTCATATAGTATGAAATTCTGAAAACTGAAACCATGTATCATTAAGCTATTTTCAACTATTGCCAAAGCCTGTGTATCATTTGTTGTGCCTTCTACACACGTTATTTCTCCACTTCTTCCATCAAAGTTATGTATAGTACCACTATTCTTCTCAATTGTGTCAATACATAATGGATATATTGAAAATTCAGGCTCATTTTTTTTCAGTTCAAAATATAGTTTAACACTCATATCGTTCTTAAGTTTCATCGGACAGGAGTTACCTTCTACAATGTATCGAATTTCAATTTCTTTCCTTGATACATCAATGTCCAACTCGGCCGCAATTGCTGCTTTGAGATTAGAAAACGAAATTGAATCACCAACAACGATTCCATCAATTTTGTAATTTTCATACTGCAATTCGTTCACCCAAATTCCGGAATATCTCATCAAAATCGAAGTATTCATCTTCAAAAACCCACTGCAACAACAAAAAAATTTCGGTAGCTCCAATTGTTTTCTAAATAACTGATACAATCTTTGATTTTCAAATTATGAAATTAATATCCAATTAAGTGCTGATTTAATGCTGATTAATGATCTGTTACCACAAATTAAGCTGTTTTAGTAACAACTTTAAATTTACCGTTTTTATCCCCTATTTTTTCTTAACAGTTTTAAGTTACTATGTATCATTTACCATGTATCATAACTTTCTAAAGTATCACGGCTCAGCAATTTTAAGGGATTTTTTGTAATTATTAAACTTATCGGGACAGGATGTAATTATTGAATTACACTATGGGATTCCTTAAATTTATACATTAAAATTTCCCTACTTTTCCGAGGCCTAACATTAATAATGATAAATGTGGATCCTCTTTCACTGGGAAAGTTTCATGTACGTGCAATTCCTAATATTTATATATTTACACACTATTATCAAGTATTTATATACTTGGCTAGAGTTGTTCATAGTTATGGTTAAAAAATTAAATCGAACTGCAATTTAAATAAACCAATTAAAGAAATTGTCATTTAGTTTGGTTTGATTTTAGATTTTGAAAATCGATATTATTTGATTTAGCTTTGACTTTATCAAAAAAATTGCAAAAATAACCAAACTGAACTGAAAAATTATTTATAAATTTTTATAATCAATTATATAATATTCATAAATAAAATATAAATGTTTTGTTAAATATAAACTAACTTAAGTTTTTAACTGCTATTTTCTCAATCTATCAATCAAAATTTGGCCCAACTATTACAACTCGAATGAAAAATACTTTTGAATAAATATCTTTTATTTTTACTAGAGAATAAAAAATAAGTTTCGAACGAAATTGAAAATATTTTTTAAAGATAAACTTTTTTTTTGGAGGAGGGGGGGGGGGAGGAGGGGGGAAGGGAGGAGGGGGACTGGGAGTGTGGGTGGGAGGGGTGAGAAGGGGTAAAATAAAATTTTAAAATTGAAATTATTTTTTAAAAAGAAACTTAAATTATTTTTTCGAGGGAGTTGGGAGTCTGGCAGGGACTGGTGGGATGAGGAGGTTAAAAAAATGAAGTTCAAAATATTTTTTATAAGATTTAAATTTGTTTTATATCGGGGGTTGGGGGTTGGGTAGGGGAATTGGGGTGTGTGGGGGTAGATGGAAACAAAAATTTTAAAATTTTAAAAAAATTATAAAATTAACTTTTAGTAATTTTTGTAGGGGGAGGGGGGGACTCAGGGGTTGGGTGGGGTTAAAAAAAAAAGTTTAAATTCTAAAATTTGAACTAATTTTCAAAAATAAAATTTGAGGTTGTGATTTTTTTTGGTTTGGGGGTGGGGGTGGGGGGTTTAGGGGTTGGAACAACAAAAAATTGATTTTTTTCAACATAAAAAATTTATAATTTGAAGTTGGAGGACAGTTTTGAAAAATGTTTTCTTTCATACCAAACGTACCCTAAGTCTAAGTCCATCAAAATTCATTTATTCAGTCTTTATCTACCTACCTCACATAACATAGTCACATTTTCTCTTAATTGAATTACTTTGTTCATATAATCATAACTCTAATATTGTTAAAATGATTAGTTAGCTTTCTCATGGATTGTTCAAGTACTAGCTAGGTGTATGTCTCTATTGAGATACGTTTGTCCTAAAAAATTATTATTTTCAAATCGAATAAAATAAAAAAGTCGGACTAAATCGACAACAACTAAACCGATGGTTTTTTCATTTGATTTGATTTGGTTTTAAAAATTTAAAACCGACTAAATTGGTTTGGTTTTGATTTTTATTTTAAGTAATAACTAATCCAAACTAAACCATGAACACCTTACTTAGGGTCGTTTGATTTGAAATCAATTTATGTTGGGATACATTATGATGAAATTAGTTATCGCCAAATTATTTCTAATTGATTATTCGGAGAAGGGCTTAAAACACTCGTCAAGTATAGAAAATGAAACAAAAACACCCTTGTTCCATCTCTAGGCTAAAAGATATCCTTTCATCCACTTATATGGACTTATATTACCCTTTGCACTTAACATATTCTTTAAGAGTAATAATTAGTCATTTCAATAATGACGTGACAACCTTTTATTGACCAGAATTTATATTAACCGAAAATATTTTTCACCATTTGAGTTGGTTTCCACTACTTCATATTCTCAAGCTCAACTTCTTCTCAATGGAAAAAACTCAAAAATCCCAAAAATGTATGGGTGTGTGTAATTTGAATTCGACATTGGCATGACGGTGATTTTTGAAGAGTCCGACTAGTAAAACATTTACAGAATAAATATTTTAAATGAAAGGAAAAAAATGACGTGTAATATTTATTTTCTTTAAAGTTCCATATCAAAGTTGTAGCAATTAGTAAATCATTACTCAATTCACTCCATGGCTTCCATAAAATCACTAAAACATACAAAAAAAAGAACTAAAAAAATTCTATGTTATAATCGAAATATGCTTTTGTTAGTTATATAAACAAAGAATATAGCAAAAAATAACTAAATCATGCTCGTGTTATGGTAAATAAGTCATCAATTTTATGCTAGCATTTGCTTTTGCAATTTATCTTTCTTGAGAGAAAAGAATGTAGCTTCTATTTCGCTATTTCGTCGTAGTTTTGTAGCATAGGATGGACATGTCTATTTCCAGGTTCTTGCGGGAAGGAACTTGACCGAAGAAAGTTTTCCATGAGGCTATCTTTAAGCCCTCAATTAAGGGGTTGATTTTCGTCTCTTTCCCTTTGATATATCAATGTTGATGTTGATTACATTGTTGAATTATAAGTGACTTGGCTCTTCGATACCTCCTTATGTCACGTTTGACAGAATGTTCCCTCATTGATTCAACATTTTGATTTTGATTGATATTATCTAAATTGAGCTTCTCCATCAGAAGAAGCTGGGCTTGGGGCTTGGGGCTTGGGGCTTGGAGAGTATGAAGCTGAGGAAACCAACTTTATTGTTGGAGAATATTTTGGTTAATTTATATTTTCAACCAATTAAAGGTTGTCACATCAATAATGAAATAATTAATAATTAATTATTAATCTTATAGAATTAGTTAAGTGAAAGGGTAATATAGGTTCATACAGGGACAAACTCACGTGTATCCCTACGAGTGCATGGGCACCCGTTAATTTTGAAAAATTATGTGTGTATATATATACACATCCACATGTTGAAATAGACATATATTATATTAGGCACTCAAAGAGCCAAAAGCTAGTTGGATTAGCTGGCTTAGAAGCTGATCTTCATTGAGGAAGTACTAAGTTCAAATTCCCATCTGCTCATTTCTTGTTTTTTTTCTTTCTATTTTTAGCTATGAAGTTTAAAAACATCAATAAATAAAATAAAATAAAATAGGAGGATGTCTAGTTTCGAAATTTCAACCTCGTGGTGCAAAGTAAAAATTCAAAATCACCACTTCACACAATACACTATCTGTTAGAGTCATCTAATTTATTTATATATGAATATCATAGTTTTACATTTCATTTAAATCAATATTGGATACTCTTGGGTTGTAACCGCACACGCAAGTGCATGTGATCGTACAAGTAATATAATGACTTTTGTTAAGGAGCCGGATATCGTACCCACAGGGACCACGAACTAGACTTCATTAACTTTGCCAATTCTTGGCTTATAACAAGTGAAATGTTTAAAATTTTGTAAATAACTATACTAAAATTTATGATTAACTAAACTAACTAAAATGATTCAATATCCTAACTTGAAACGATTATTAATGAAGAAACCCAGGATTGTAGCTTTTATGAGGACTCATAAAGTTGCCATCATCTAATAAAGGTTTTTCTGACGTTATCTCATCGATGAACCATAGGGTTGAATATATGATTATGGTCTCTCGACCTCTAATCTCCTACAACTATTACAACCTTAACTACATCGTTGAGCGGGAATAAGATGAATAAGAGTTGATCATTAAGTTATCTTCATGTATGATAGTCTAAGTAAGGTTTTCAGACATATCTCTATTCTAAAAATGAATCAACCCTAGTTATTTAGAGTCAACAAAACTTCCTACTTTCCATGTTCTATACTCTCTCGATTTCAATTTGGACAATGGATTTATTTCTATGGTGGCCAGTTCATGAAATACATAAAACAAGAAAGTAAGAACGAATCATTGATAACTTTTGATAAACCCTTAACAACTCAAGCAAACTCCATTCATCCTGTATCCACAACCCTAGATCTAGGGTATTTAGGTACTCATAATTCTCATACTAACATTCGAAATAATTGGAATCATTCTCCAACAATTACCAGAGAAGAAGGAATATAATGAAACCCTAGGTTTTCTCCATAATCGTTCTTCACGTCTAACATTTTAAAAATCAGAAAAAAGAAAAAAAATAAAATTACATTAAGTCCCTATTTATACTAAATTCCGAACCTCCAATTCCAGATCTTGTGACGCGCGATGCGAGGCTGACACGAAGTGTTCTGTCTCGCGTCTTCTTTTCCAATTAAATTTTGGTATTCAAGCTCACGATGCGAGGCCGACACGGAGTGTTCTTTTTAGAATTTACTTCATGCTCAAGATTTTATTCCCTTCTGCGGTCGCGAGGCTATCACGAAAATGCCTTTGCATCATTTCTCCACTTCACTTTGCTTTCTTCTATCCACAGAATTCCTCTTCGCCTCTTTTGCTCCTTTTGATGTAAGTTTATTGCATCTCGCCTTCCTGCATAGCTAATCATTCTGGTTAATTTTGAAATCCATATTTACTTGAATAAGACTCTTAATCTACACTTATCGACTTCAAAACAAGCTCTCGTGTAGGCATAAATAGTACTATTGGCATGTAAATTTGCCCAAGATCAGGTACATACTTTAACTAACGTGCATAATCGTTAGTGTTGTACCCGTTGTCTACAAATCCTGGGTTCGTCTCTGGGTCCATATAGATGGATGGAAGGGTATTTCGGAGTTTAAAGGTGGAAGGAGGATATTTTGTTCCATTTCCTATACTTGAAGGGTTTTTGTAAGCCTTTCACCGTTCATTATTTGGGTAGTTGTATTCAAGTATCAATATTAATTTAAAAGAAATAAGTATTCAAAATAATAAGCTTGTCATAATTTTTGAGAATAAATTGTTTGTTTACAAAAATATCCTTTATCTTATTTAGTTTGTAATATTTTATTTGCAAGCTTTCATTGTTAATTCTTAAAAATAAAATCTTCATATTATTTAACTTAAATATTTTTGTGTATTCATTCTGATGATTGTCCCATGTGCATTTAAAAA